GGTGCTGGTGCGGAGTCTGGGGGTGCTGCGTCTGGGGGTGAGGGTGTCCCTTCGGTTTCTAGAGAGCCTGGGTCTGGAGCTGGTGTTGGTGCTGCCTCTGGAAGTGGTGTACTTGGTGCTTCGGAGGTCGACTCTGGGGCTGCCGCTGCCCCGGACACTACTCCTTCCCCCCACCCCTACCCGACCAGGTTCCAGGCTCGTGTTCGCCGTGCTCGTGAGGAGCAGCTGGAGTTGGAGAGAGAGGAGAGAGAGTTGCAGCGGCTCGAGGAGCAGGAGCGACAGCAGCAGGAGCAGCAGCAGGGGCAGCAGCCGCTGGAGCAGCAGCAGCCGCAGCAGCCGCAGCAGCAGCAGCTGCCGTCTCCTCCTCCTGTCTCGGGTCTTCGGACCCTTGGTCTCCCCTCTCCCTCTCCTTCCTCCTCCCCCTCTCCTCCCGTCTCTGGTCCTCCGCTTCCTCCTCCTGACCCCTCTCCCGCTGTTTTCCCTCGTTCTCAGTCTTCGTTGTCTCCTCCTCCTTCTCAGACTTGGGCCTCTCGTCGCTCCCCTCGTGCTCGTCCCTCGTCTCCTGTTCCCTTCACTGACCTTCGTACAGCCTTCCTTTGTTCTCGTCCACCTCGTCCGTCTCCGTCTGTGCTTCCGTCTCCTCCTGAGTCGGCCCTCACTGTGTCGCTTCCTTCTCCTGTCACTGACTACTACCGCACGTACCGTCCTGTTCTCTCTCGTGTTCTCGCCTCTCTTGTTACCCACCCTCGTGCCTCTGTGTCCTCTGTGTCCGCTCTTACTGCCGCAGTCACTGAGTTTGCCTCTACCCGCCGCCTTGACTTCGCCACCGCTCTTGTGGCTGCTCCTCCTTCCAGTCCTCTGGCCGTCGGGGGTGTGTCTGCCCTTGGCTGTGACGCCCTAGAGGACAGGCAGTTTGAGCTAGAGTTCCTGGCCGCCGCTTCCCCTCATCTCTGTGCCATGCTCCTCGCCCCTGAGGGTGACCCCGACGCCCTTGACATTCCGACTCCTCGCACTTACGCTGAGGCAGTGTCAGGGCCTTGGGCCTCTCAGTGGAGAGCTGCCATGGACGCAGAGATGGCCTCCTACAGATCCACAGGCACCTACGTCGATGAGGTTCCCCCTCCGGGGGCGAACGTAGTCGACGGCATGTGGATCTACAGGGTGAAGCGGCCACCGGGATCTCCTCCGGTCTTCAAGGCGCGCTACGTGGCTAGAGGTTTCAGTCAGCGACAGGGAGTTGACTTCTTTCAGACCTTCGCGCCCACCCCGAAGATGACCACTCTTCGGGTGTTACTACACGTAGCAGCACAGAGAGACTACGAGTTACACTCTCTCGACTTCTCTACTGCTTTCCTTCAGGGCAGTCTTCACGAGGAGGTCTGGTTGCGTCGTCCCTCTGCCTTCACTGGCTCTTTCCCTCCTGGGACCCAGTGGAGGCTGAGGCGACCGGTTTACGGACTTCGTCAGGCTCCTCGTGAGTGGCACGACACCCTGCGTTCCACTCTGTCTGACCTTGGGTTCCAGCCGTCTTCTGCTGACCCGTCGCTGTTCGTTCGTCGTGGCCCCACACCTTTCTTTGTTCTGGTCTATGTTGACGACCTTGTTTTCGCCACCCCTGACAGGGTTGCTTTGGCACACGTGAAGTCCGAACTGCAGAAGAGACACACCTGCACTGATCTTGGTGAGCTGCGCCACTACCTTGGCCTGCAGATCACCAGGGACAGAGCTGCTCGCACCATTACACTTTCACAGTCGCACATGGTGCAGCAGGTCCTTCAGCGGTTCGGGCTTCAGCACTCCACAGTACAGCGCACACCTCTTGCTGTTGACCACAGACTCACTGGACCCTTTCCTGACGAGCCGTTTGAGCCTAGTGGTCCCTACGCTGAGCTTGTGGGTTGCCTCATGTACCTGATGACTTGTACTCGCCCGGACCTCGCCTTCCCTCTCAGCGTTCTTGCGCGCTTTGTTGCGCCAGGGAGACACCGTCCTGTTCACTGGACAGCAGCTGTGAGGGTGGCGAAGTACCTAGCGACGACGTCAGGCGTGGGGCTAGTTCTTGGAGGGCAGCAGTCTGTCGTACTTACTGGTCACTGTGACTCTTCTTACGCTGACGACGCTGAGACTCACAGGTCTACTCAGGGGTACTGTTTCAGCCTGGGTTCTGGAGCTGTTTCCTGGCGGTCCACGCGCTCCTCTTCGGTCTCGACCTCTACAGCTGAGGCTGAGATCTACGCTGGTGCCATGGCGGCACAGGAGCTGCGTTGGTTGACCTTCTTGCTCACCGACCTTGGTGAGCGGCCGAGCTCTGCACCGACCTTGTTCACTGACAACAAGGCGTCTATTCTCCTTTGTCGAGAGCCACGACTGGAGAGCAGAGTGAAGCACATTCACGTCAGGTACTTTCTTCTGTGAGAGTTGCAGAGGCGTGGACAGGCTCGCTTTGAGTTTGTGGAGTCCGAGGCCAACACTGCAGACATCTTCACCAAGGTGCTTCCGCCTTGTGACCACCAGAGGTGCTGTGTGCAGTTAGGCCTTGTTGACACTGGTTCTCGTGTTGCTTAGACTTGAGTGTACTGTTTACTTTGCTTTCTATATACCTCTGTTACTTCTTGGACTGGCCTTGTGGCCACTGTTGTTTGTGCTCAGACTGTGTGGTGACGTTGTGATCCACCCTGAGCTTCGTTTCTTGGACTGGTCTTGTGACCGTACTCGTTTGGTTCTGCTAGACACCCCTCACTTAGGCTATGGGGGTGTGTCAAATGTTGTAGCCTATAGTGAGGTTTGTCTTAGGGGGTACAAAACTTAGGGTTAGCTATATGTACCCCAACCAACATCAATGCATCATTCATTCCTCATTTTGACAAGTTCTTGCACAAATCCTGTTTATTGCGGAATAGAAATTCAGCACGAGTAAAAAGTAGTCTCTAAATTACAAAAATTTAAGAGGGTTTAAAACATTGAGCGAAGATTCCTATGGGGACAATTGTGTCTCAATCAGTTCGTCTCACGCGGAATTTGCATAAACTGTACTGTGTCACAAACGCGGATCGCACTAATGAGACTTGAGTGGCATGGCAACTGGAGGAAGGAGCCAGCATGGGATGGTGGTGGGAGGTTACAACGAGTTGCTACTACTACCTTCTGAATCAGTACATCCCACCACAAACAAATGCAAACATCTCCCTAGAAAAAATGACAGGAGTATGGGATCCTTATGCACGCCTGCCAGGAACCAGACGGCTCTTATTTGTCCACACAGGATTGATAGGATGAAGATGAAGATGCCGAACAAGCTGATAGATATGGTATGCAGAACCTGACTGCTTCTACAATTCAGCTACGGTACCTAATTCCAGATGCCGCAGCGCGAATACAAACATCCGGACCTGCACGTATTATAAGCAGTCAGGTACTTCCCTCCGTTCCTTAAAACAGTCGTTGCAGTCTGCATGCACGCCTGGTTGCACGCGTATCTGTACCTATCAGGGCAATTGAACGCAATACTCCCAGGAAGCTCAGGAAACGGGCACACTGCCCCGCACGTGGTGTCCAGGTTGTTGATTCCGAGAGTTGAATCAGGAGCCATTCCTGCTCGGTTAAGGCACGCGCGGTTGCAAATTATGGAGCGGGTGCAGGCGCCTCGGGCCAAGATCCTGACGTTGTTGCACTGCGCGTCGCAGTAGGAAGAATAAGTGACAAAGTCGGCGCCACAGACGGGTGGGGCGTATGGGCTGCATCCGCAGTCGATGAGACTGGCGTTTGTGTTTAGTCCTGGAGATAAGGAGCCACTGCCGCTAGTCTGCGCGCGGGCTCCGCTGATACAGGTGCTCACCGCGCATAGCAGCAAAGCAAGAACAAGAGGGGACGCTTTCCCGGAAGGCATGGTTTCGGACTTCAGCTCCTGTCGCTCAACTTTCACAAGTTGGAATATGTTGGATTACGATTGCATTAGGGAGGCATTTGAAGCTTTAATAGTGTGTCACCTCCTAACACTACTCGAATGGTGACGGCTGACATGGTCGAGTTGCTGTTGAGAAAGCACCGGAGCGCGAGAGGAAGCTAGGTGCAGCGTGGGTTGCAGCTGCAGATTTCAAATCCTGGCAGCAGATGGCGGTTTGGCACGAAGGGGAGGCGAGTTAGGGCGTGTAACATTGTATCGACCAAGCAATATATCCGACCAAATGGTCGGGTCATGCGAATGCGAAACGTGTAACGTTTGAACGAACCCCGCCACACATTTTCGAACGGAATGACCATTCTGTTCGTTAGCTGTGGGGCACCCATCCTTAACTACCCCCGTAATTAAAATTCAAAGGTTTTGCCCAAGTTTCAACACTCGAACAGGGTGTGGAATATATGGGACACGGAAAGAGAGTGGTGTGTAGCAAGTTCATAGGCCTTCGCGACACAAGTTCGGGGGAAACATCTGGAAGTCTAACACTAATCCGAAACCCAGTATTAGAGAAGTACAAGTCGCGAAGGCCATAATTCAAAATGTTTACCCTGCATCCATTTCTGCATAGAGTGACTACCACGTAGTGCTAATCAGTGCGTGTTACCCCAAGTAGTTCGTAATCGCCAGAACCGACCAATGGTCGTTTTTTACGGTTGGTCGGTACAATTGGTTATGAGAAGGTATGGTAGGGACCACGGCCTGAATGCGGTTTCGTTCTACCGATTGGTCTTCCACCAGAATGCAGTTTCTGGCCTGTTCGTGCAAAAAAAGTGCACTTCTGAAATACAGCACGACTTGATATTACGACATTCGAAACCCAGTTGAAAACAACATTATAACTACAAGTATTGAAAATTCCCTAAACATTATTATTTTTAAAGTCACTTCCCATCTATAGCCCAATGCTTCAAAATTATGTTAAATGTAGCAAAACATATCAAAAGTATTTAATTCCACAATAATCAGCTACATCTCAGGTGGCACTTCAAAACACATGAGATGGCCGCTGATCCTTTTCTGTAACAAGGTCCACCTGATGCATCTAAGAAGGCACTGCAAAACGGCAGACAAAGCGAGACACAGTATATTTCAGTGTCACAGAAGCACAATTATAATGAATGCCAGCTTGGCACAGGCGGAACTTACTGTATGTAGACGTGTCAATCTGCTCTGGCAAGGCCTTGATGTCAACTTCAAACCGTGACTGAACCTGCAAACTCAGTGCCAAAGAATGGCAACAGCATTGTGATGTGGTTGCATAAAAGCAACATGGCATAGCATAAAAACCCAATGACATCACAAATAGCAAACACAAACCTGATCCAGTTTCTTTGAATCCTCCTCTGAGCTCACAAAAGTAATAGCTAGACCCTTGGTGCCAAAACGACCAGCACGGCCAACCTGAAACAACCCAAAAGTTCCAAACACGTTAGAAAACACATCCAAGTTCTTTCATGCATACTCAGACATCCATTGAAGGTTCCAACATACCCGATGAAGATACGTGTCTGCATTTTCAGGCATGTCGTAGTTGATGACAATATTGACTCGCTCAATGTCAATGCCACGCCCCACAAGATCTGTTGCCACCAGAATGCGTTTGTGTCCCTCCTTGAATGCCTTGTAGCGGGTCAGCCTGCAAAATGGCCAGTTGAGTAAGCAACAAGCTGCAGGGAGACACCAGCTATATCTAATTCAACAAGCTTACCTCTCCTCCTGTGTCATCTGAGAATGAATGCAGATAGCAGGGAAGTTACACTCCACCAGAAGCTTGTTCAGCTGAGCAGCACGGTTTACTGATTTGACAAAAATGACGACTTGGTTGAAGTCAAGAGCATCAAGAAGGTCGTTCAGCTTTCTGTTTTTCTCATTCTCCTTCAATTGAATGTAGTGCTGCAGAATGTAAAAAGAACAGACCGTAAGTAAACAAGAAGCCTCCAAATATGAGAAGCGTAGGGCGGAAACAGCTGTACCAACCTGAACAAGTCCATGAAGTGTCAGCTTCGTTTCGTCATCAACGTAGATCTCCATCGGCTGTACACAGCACAAACAAGGGGCGGGAGAAGAACGATACGGAGATACCAAGGTTGCTGATCCAGCTCCTGCTATGCACAAAATAGTGAAGGAGCCGCACTGGATCAACCTATAAAAATGGAAAACATGCACGCAAAAAAGACACTACACAGTCGTCCCCGCAATTTTAGAGGAAAACAGCGAGATACGAAGAATCCGAACCAGGGTTGCGGTACCCATTGTCAATCGAGGGGCTCAGATGGCTTCCGCGTCAGCACGCGACTCCGAAGCGGCCCAGCACTCAATTATCCGCACCAACGGCTGGAAGCTGGGTCCGACCTCGACCAGAAGTTCCACCTCCAGTCCGCAAACCAATCACTCCCTCAACGGCCTCCTCCCTTCACCACCCCCAAAATTTCCCCCATACTAAAGACTCTCCAGCCATAGGCCTCCACCCACTCTAGCACATCTCTCACGCGATACCCCACTCCTCAGAAACTTCTGACCCGCTCCAAATCCCAGCTTAACATCGAATATCCCATGGCTCTAAGCTGATCCCGCTAGGCTGGAGTTGATGAGCACAGCTGCTGACACACCCACTGGCGACGATGTCCTGGCTACAGAGGTCGAGTGCATCGGGAATAATTACATCGGTCATAAACTTCTTGCAGACGGGGCGAATCTCCTTGCTGAGCGTCGCGGAGAACATCATGACCTGCTTGTCGTGAGGAGTCAGCTTGAAGATCTCCTGAACATCCCTCCGCATATCTGTTACATCAAAGAAACGACGAATCAGTACATTTGCAAGAAGTCAGACGAACAAAATTTCCGCACGCCTGAGCAAGACTTACCCAGCGACTCCAGCATCTTGTCGCATTCGTCGAGAATGAAGTGGCGAACGTGCTTCAGGTTCAGATCCTTCTGCCGAGCAAGATCGAGGATACGACCAGGCGTTCCGACGACAATGTGCGGGCACTCGTTCTTGAGCATATCCTTGTGCGTCTTGATCGCCACGCCACCGTAGAAGACCGCGACTTTGACATCCGGAAGGTACGTGGTGAACCTCTGAAACTCGTTGCAGATCTGCAGCAAAATGAAATTGGTCAGAATCCTACCTAGACATTTATGGGGGGACTACGTTGAAGTTTGTAAAAGGGACGACAAGCGCACCTGATACGCGAGTTCACGGGTGTGGCAGAGAACCAGTGCAGACACCTCCCCAGCTACTGGTTCGATCTGCTGAAGCGTTGCCAGCACAAACACAGCTGTCTTCCCCATACCAGACTTGGCTTGGCAGATCACATCCATTCCAAGAATGGCTTGGGGAATACACTCGTGTTGCACTGCAAGAAGGAACAATTGCCTCAGAAATGACCTCGGGCATGCGGCAAGAAAACACACCCTAAACATGCTTCAGCGAATGTATGCACCTTCTGATGGGTGTTCGAAACCACAGTCCACAATAGCGCGAAGCAGCTCGGGCTTGAGGAGGAAGTCACGAAAACCAGAGCTATGGATTCCGACATACCCCCTGCGCAAGGTACGGCGTAAGGAATGAGCTCAAGTTTCTAAATCGATTACAGGACCAGCTCTTTGAAGAGACCAAGACACGCCCAGCTTACTTCCTAGCCGCTTCTGTCGTTTTGGCAGCTCCGGCATCGGGAGCGGCTTCTTCTTCCTCTTCGAAATCTACGAGCTCTTCCTCCTGATAGGTTTCCTTGGTCTCAGCCATCACGGAGAACTGTGAAGATAGAACTGTAAAGATCAGGTGTCAGCGTGTGGGCGGCGCGAACGCAAGATTAGAACAAACCCCTGGAAGAACGGAAGAGGCGTGAGGAAACCTCACAACGGAAGAAGCGTTGTGAGATCCAAACCCCAGTACTAGTGCGAGATGAGAGATCTGGTTTGGTGTTCATTCAAATGTTCAAGCTCGGTTATCATCTCCCACAATCTGTTGCTCTCGCTCGGATCCGTGACTTCTATTTCGGAGATGCTGGTTCTTTGGCAGTTGCAATACAGTAATCAGTTGCTACGCCTTAGGAATATCATACAAAATAATGAAGTGCATGCAATGCAAGTGAACTAGGGAAATTCACTACAGCAGGTTTTGACTAACAAAGGCATAAATGCTAGCTCCAAAATATACTACGTTATGACGAGTTCAAGTGCCTAGGTGAACGGTTGAACATGACTCTCCACATGAAGGCACGTGACAGCACCATGTCCAACTCCTTTTCAGTCCATCTCTTTGTTGGCACATGTTGCAAGAACAAAACCATTTCCTGGAAGTCCATCTGCTGAAGTTGTTCTGACCACTGCAATCAAAGAGCAGGACTACTTCAGCAATAGTAACACACCAACAAATCAATGTAAGAGACAGCAAAGCACAATCCACTGCAAACTTACAGTGAGGAGGAAACTTGCACATAGGTAAACCAGGAACTCTGCAAAACCATCACCCTCTGAAAGATATGTGTCCCACAACCTTCCCACAATAGAAAATGGAATCTGCAAACAGGAGAGAAGGCGGGGGGAGGGAAAGGGATGAGGATGGTCACATAGTCGATGAACCAAACAAAACCGATGTAAGTCCAAATACATTATCCGTGGTGGGAGAGGAAACGGGCATACCTCACGAATTAACAGGCAATTGAACCACCGGAACGCGAACTGAAGAAATTCCAAGTGGTTCTCTTCCATGTGCCGAGAAACAGGCTCTGCAAATTGAATTCAACAAAGTCAATCAGAGGTTCATATACAGGCTGTTGATCAAGCCATAGCAGCAGGTGACCTCACCATCAATCCTTCTCACAAGCTCCTTAAGGCGGAAAACAAGGCGCTGGATGCCTGGCTGAGCAAAAGTATAGTGGTCTTGGATGCCGTCAAGCAACTTGGACAGGCACCAGTAACTATCTGCCTCGACTTGCAAAAGGGTATCTTCAGAAAGCTTTGAAACTACCCAGGTATCCATGTCTCCTTCAAATATCTCCGAAAGAAACACTGTGAGGAATGGCGTCAGCAGGTCATTAATTCCTTGAACATATCCACTGGCCGGGTGGCGTATAGCCCTGCAAAACGAACATTTCAGTCACATGAAAGACTAATTCACAACAACGTGACAACAGCAAACTATGCAGTAACTTACCAAATATAGAGTACACGCTCAATTGCTGTCTGCATCAAGGTTTGCTGGAAGAAGGGGACATCTGGAACAGTTCTCGGGCAATCTACAGAAATCTGTACAGAGGACGACCTGTTGTCAAAGGACGGAATTGTAAGGTTGATTATGGACTCAAAACCCGAAAGACGCCTACCTGGCGAAGTGTATGGATTTCGTCATCACTGCGGTCTTCATTTGGAATGTCATAATACTGGGGAACCCACTCCCTGTACTCTTGGCGCTTCCTGGCCAGAACTGTCTCTCTTCTATCTGCGTTTGGCGGTGCGTATCCCTGTATGCATGCAAGTCGGAATGAATGAATAGAAACACACATTCCGTTATCACTAATGACAACAGGCAAACATTCTATGTCTCACCAGTAAAAGACGCCAGACAGTTGGTCTTAAATTGGGAGGTACGCCACTCCAAGAAATCTCCCGAAGAGCATCTGAATGTAAAGCGTCACGAGCTTGATAAGGACCACGTTTCAACGAAAGCGTGAATGTAAATGGCCTGCATCGAAATATACCTAGGTCAACTGCAGGAGCAGAAAGTTCCTTTCTGAATTTGGCAACCCTAGCAGTATCCAGGGATCTTGACTCCGGCATTGGCTCTACTACGGCTGGAGCCATTTCCGCAACGGGTGGAGAAGCCTCTTGTATCCTAGATTTTGAAGCTAGCTGGTCAAGAACAGTTAGATCAGAATCAGTATATCACCATAACGCGAAACGTTAGTAGCTAAAACGATCGGATTACTACCGTACCTGTCTCTCCTCATTAGAGGGTCTAAGAATTTCGGCGGCATCAATTTCAGGACCCTCGCGTGCCCTCACAGCACTCGTCGGACTTATGGCTTGCTGAGGCTCACCCCGGCTGAGCTTTATTCTCCCAGGTACAGATTTTCCACCTCCAAACCTGAAAGAAAATTGATAAGTTCCAGCAATAAGTTCAGAGTATTCTGCGATGATTCCAAACTTACGGTACGTTTATGGCATCTAGTGCTACCTTCCCCACATCTTGTCACAACAGACAGTGGTGTCTCTGGAGCAGCAGTTGACCTGAGGAAAACCTTATCGGGCTTCACATATCAGATTTATAAGGCTCTTAAACGAGCGTAGCGTGGTTAAACACTAACACCAAATCACGGCGCTAATCGTCAGACCATAGTTCCACTGAAATCAGAAGACTAGATGCTTGGCATTGAAACGGGCTGGAACAGCCAAGACCGAAGGGGTGGGGGAAGTATGATATCGAAGGTAACAAAAATGGGTTCGGCTCGGTTCAACTCTGGCTCAGCACGCGGATGGACGACAAACACGACGGAAGCGCCCATTTTCAAGCGGAATGACTGTATCGCGAGCGCGCCAAAAACTGACGGAACGGGTTCGGCTGACGAGAACTGAGGGTTCGCTCAAGCGGCAAGTCCTTTCGCCAAGTTTAACTGTAGTGCTTGTTACGAATGCACAAAGTACCTGATATGTATATTCTTAAACACTGTAATGCTTTTTAAAATTATGTATTTCGAAAGCGAAGCTGCCTGTAATGTAGGATTTGGCAGCGTCGAGCCGCGCTAAACGCCCGTTTTGGAGTACAAAACGTGGGCTGGAGGTCATTTCCCTCCACCCACGTCTCTCATTTTCAAACGGTTTAGCCGATTTTCCCACCCACCCCCCTCGAAAGCAGGATAGCGTTGATAACGTAGAGGCATATTGTTGTAATGTCACTGCTTAGATTTCAATTGTACTAAACCCATTTGAAATGAGACGATGCCAATTGCTACATGCAAGAAAGCAAGCTTTCTAAATTTCCTAACTAAGCAGTCTCATGTGCGCTCCACCACTCCTACCTTTAGAACCATTTTCCCTTGAGCTCAGAACTTGCTTCAACATTATTTCTCATGGAGGCCATATAGATCGAATGGCATTGCCACAAAAAAGTTTAGTCAGGCGTGAATTCACTCCACACACGGCTTCCAAACCTGTAGCAACTTGTCATAAAAAGAGCAGGAGCCAACAATCCATGCACTAGCAGCTCCTCGTGACATATCGCATAAACCCCAGTCGATGCCATAGACCATGGACTTGTGCTGCTCATATCGTTCCACCACTTCTCCACACAGGCCCTGGTATGACTCCCTCCCAGCCTCATCCTGGCGCAAAAAACTCTTTGTATCCTTTGCAGGTGAATTAGGGGTACCTACAGCACTGGAACAATCTTGGGAAAGGGAGAGTATTGTAGCTCCTCCGTGCATACAAGCAGCAAGAACAAGGTGAGCTTTCTCCGGGTGCCACTTGATCCTCCACACCCCTCCGCCTATAGCAACTTGACAAACAGCAATGGGCATTAGCGGCATGCGGACATCCCAGAACCTCACCGCCTCGTCATAACTCCCGGACGCGAGGAGATGCGGAGAGTGTGGAGAGCAGCGGAGAGACGTGACTCCGGCTCGATGTGCCTTGATGTTACGCCATGCAGGCCGCGAGGAGGATGGAGAGCGCGGAGATGAGGAGGGGGATGAGGGGATGTGTGTGCGGAGGTCCCAAGCACACATGGCACAATCATCGCCACCTGAGTAAAGTACCTGAGAAAATAAACAAACAAAAATAGGAGAAAGGAGAATGGGTCCAAGCTAAGGGGAATTGGGGACACAAACAAAACCACATCGTTTACCCTCACCTTGAAGATCCTGCAAGCAAGCTGTCGTGTTCAGTGAGCGAATGCACACACCCACCTCAGGGTTCCAGATGTTGAAGCAGCAGGTCCACGCTTCAAACTCGTGTGCTGGCCATGCGTGCTCAGCCAACCACACACCACCCTCTCCCTGCAGTGCCACCGCCAACGATCCATCCGAACGACTCACAGCAATCCGATCCCTCCTTACACCCCATTCTTTCCTTCTCTCTTCCGCTCCCTCCCTGTCAGTCTCCCTGGTCCCGCTCTCCTCTGAGTCTGCCGTCTGCTCCTCCCGGCTCCCGCTTCTTCGCTCGGATTCCCCAGCCGACCACCAATCCAACGCGAGGCACATGGGAGGTTTGGCATCAGGCTCGGCAGGATCAGAGGAAGGAAAGGGAATGCGGGTTAGCAGAGACAAATTCGGTGGTGCAGAGGCGATCGGTCCTCCTTGCATCTCATAGAAATCTACGGTCCCTTCAGCAGTTGCTGCTGCCAGCAACATCGGCTCAGACGAATCCCCTCGCTCAGCAACATTCTCTCTTCGTTTCCTCAGATCTGCTCTTTCTTCCTCTCCCTCGTCTGCTTCTGCTCGCCGGGCGCGAAAACTCTCGCTTCGCCACTTAATGTCCAGAATACCGCAACCGTTCACTGACTGCAAGTGGACCATGCGTGCCGCCGCTGGAGGCGGCGAGTCTTTTCCGTCAGGAAGCCGTCCATTATCGTCTGACACGTCAGCATCGACGGCGTCAAGGTTGAACAGGTGCACTCCGCCGAGACGCGACTGGCGTTTTCCGTTTGAAGTCTCGTCGTCAGTTTCGGAAGAGCCTTCGGGGGTCACCGTTGCAGCCACGTCAGCATTGTCAGACGACTGCGGCTCCACTAGCTGATACGATGCCACGGCGAATGTGCCAGGGAAATCGCGAGACGGGCAGAATTCCACCGCGTCAAGGCATTGCGGAAGCACGCGGGAATCAATAAGTCGCTCGTCAAGTCGATCCGAGCCGCCATGGTTCAAGGCTGGCTGTGCTGATGTTCCCAAGGACATGGTTGCTTATCTAGTGATGCAGCGAAGTGGGCATCTGACGGAAGAGGCGTTACGAGATTTCTTTACGCGAATTCTTTTTGCATCTGGGTCTTGTTTTTCACGTCGTTCAGTAACAAGTTTGTATCGAGTACCGGTGTGCCCTACATCGAACCCGCAGTGCTTCGGAAATCAAAATCGCTGCACGTCGCCAAAAAAATGGATTTTGGTGTGTGATGGGCAGTTTGGGGACGACGGAAACGTGCAGCACCCAACCAAACCCAGGAACACTCTGCAGCACCTGGGAGGACAACCGATGATCCGCCTAATGCATTTAGCATACGGCGCTCAACAGAAATGTACACTTATGTCAAGTTATGTTATATCCTGCTTACGCTAGTTACTGTAGTTACTACTATGAACTGTTGGTGGTACACCTTTGCATGCTGTGTTTCCTATTTGTACCTTCCTCAATAGTGAACTACCCTCTTTGCCCAATTCCCCCTCCCGCTACTCTCGGCTATCACCTAGGCTAGGGTTTCACCTAAGCCTAGGTTACTCCATTATTCTTGACATGGTGTCAGAGCTGGTTCTTTCCTAGAACCTTCTCTTTTTTTTAAGTAACATGGGCCCGCCTTTCCTGCAGCGCGAAATGCGCTACTTTTTTTCTTCGTCCCGTCGCGCTCTTCGGCCGTCGCGTCCGTCGTCCTGCGGCCTCAGTTCCGTCGCCCCGCGGCCCCCCGTTTCGTCGCCCCGCGGCCCCCCGTTCCCGTCGCCCGCGGCCCCCCGTTCCCATCGTCCGCGGTCTCAGAAAGTAGCTACAGCGGAATGAGTAGGATTGATAGGGTTGGGGTACACATGCCTAACCCTAACTGCTTGTACCCCATATAGCATGACCCGCAACAGGGTATAACATTTGACACGCGGCCCCCCGTTCCCGTCGCCCGCGGCCCCCCGTTTCGTCGCCAGCGCGGCCCGCCAGCGCGGACGCCAGCGCCGTGGCCAGCCGCCTGCGCCACAGTCAGCGCCAGCAGCAGCTACCGCCGCCCCCCCCCCCCCCCCCGCCCTCCCTTCCGCGGCTTCCGTCGTGGGGGGGGGGGGGGAGAAGGAGATGTGGGGGTGGCGGGTGTGAGCTGCCAGCAGCCCGTCCCTCCCCTCTCTCTTCCTGCAGAGATGTCGATGTGGAGAAAAGGGGGGGGGGGGGGGGGAGAAGTAGAGAAGGGTGAGGGGGTTGTCAAACATATATGCTGGATATTGTCTAGGCTGTAGTGGGGTAGCCCATATGGGGTACAGCCCAATTAGGGTTTACTACTTGTACTCCTGCATGCTGCTAGTTCATTCATTCCTGCTGCTAGATTCTGACATGGTTTCAGAGCACTAAGGTCCGTAGGACCGTTTTTTTTTTTCGGGCCCACCTACCGCTGCGGTTACCGCGCTACCCCACGTAAGGCCCACGGGCGCACCACCGTCTTGGTCACCCCTCCTTGCCTCGCCTGCGTCGCATGCACTCTCGCTACCTGGTCTCTGGTCTTCCCAGGTCTCTGCCTGCCCTCCCTCCCTCGCCTGCGCCGCCCTGCATTCCTTGCGTCGAGGGGCGGCAGCGCGCCGCTCCTCACTCCTCCTCGTTTCCTCCCACAGAGGCTCCCTTGCAGACGCTCCACCTGGACGTGTGGGGCCCAGCCCGCGTCCAGGGACAGGGCCGCGAGCGGTACTTCCTGCTGGTCGTCGACGACTACACGCGTTACACCACGGTCTTCCCCTTGCAGAGCAAGGGGGACGTCCCTGATGTTTTGATCCCTTGGATCCGCGCTGTTCGTCTCCAGCTCCGCGAGCGGTTCCGGCGGGATTTTCCTGTCCTGCGTCTGCACTCTGACAGAGGTGGTGAGTTCTCCTCTGACCTCTTGGCAGCCTACTGTGCGGAGCACGGCATCACCCAGTCGTTCACGCTTCCGGCCTCTCCACAGCAGAATGGGGTTGCTGAGCGTCGCATTGGCTTAGTCATGGAGGTCGCTCGTACCTCCATGATCCATGCGGCTGCCCCCCATTTCCTGTGGCCGTTTGCGGTCCGGTACGCCGCGCATCAGCTCAACCTCTGGCCCCGTGTCTCCTTGCCGGAGACCTCGCCCACACTGCTGTGGACGGGGAAGGTTGGTGATGCGTCGCGTTTCCGGGTCTGGGGTGCTCGTGCCTTTGTCCGCGATACCACCGCGGACAAGCTCTCCGCCCGCGCTGTTCCCTGTGTCTTCCTTGGCTTTGTCCCTGACGCGCCTGGTTGGCAGTTTTACCATCCCACCTCGCGCCGTGTCTTTGCGTCTCAGGACGTCACGTTCGACGAGTCGGTTCCCTTTTACCGTCTCTTCCCCTACCGCACTGCCCCGCTCCCCCCCCCGCCGCTCTTCCTCGCTCCAGGTGCTCCCCAGGTAGACCCCCTCCCCACTCCTGGTCCTGCTCCTTCAGGTGTTTCTCAGGTAGACCCTCCTCCCTTGACTGCGCCGGTTGAGGTCACTGGTGACTCAGGTCCTACTGAGGGTGGTCCTTCTCGGGGTGCTACTTCTAGGGGTGCTGAGCCTGGGGGTGCGGAGCCTGGGGGTGCTGAGCCTGGGGGTGCTGAGCCTGAGGGTGCGGAGCTTGAGGGTGTGGAGCCTGGTGGTGCTGAGCCTGAGTGTGAGGGGTCTGGGGGTGCTGAGCTTGGCGGTGCTGACGCTGGAGGTTCTGGAGCTACTGAGGGTGCTGGCGCTGGAGGTTCTGGAGCCGCTGGAGGTGCAGGTGCTGAGGGTACTGACACCGGAGGTTCTGGAGCCGTTGGGGGTGCGGGCGCTGAGGGTTCTGAGTCTGCTGTTGCGCGGTCTCCTTGGAGTAGCCGCCTTCGTCCACGTGTGCCTCTCACCCCACAGCAGCTGCAGGACTGGTACGGTCGCCGTCCGCGTCGCGCTGCTGGAGCTAGGAGTGGTGCTGGACCTTTGTCTACTGGAGGTGCTGGAGTCGCTGGTTCTGGAGGTGCTCGTACTGGAGACACTGCGGCTGGAGACCCTGGGACTGGAGGTGCTGGCTCTGGGGGTGCTGCTGCTGGAGACACTAAGGCTGGAGACCCTGGGACTGGAGGTGCTGGTTCTGGGGGTGCTGCTGCTGGAGACACAGAGGGTGGAGACCCTGGGACTGGAGGTGCTGGTTCTGGGGGTGCTGCTGCTGGAGACACTGAGGCTGGAGACCCTGGGACTGGAGGTGCTGGTTCTGGGGGTGCTGCTGCTGGAGACACAGAGGTTGGAGACCCTGGGACTGGAGGTGTCGGCTCTGGGACTGGAGCTTCTGGAGCTGCTGGAGGTACTGGAGCTGCTGGAGGCACTCGAGCTGCTGGAGCTGCCGCTCCTGGTGCAGCTGCGCCGACACGACGGTTCTTCGCTCCGCCGTCTCCGTCGTCTCTGCCGCCGTCTGACTCTGTTCTTCGTCAGGTTCTTACTCTCCCGTCGTCTACTGGTCTTCCGTTACAGCCCGGCTCACCGCTGCCTGCTCCTTCTCCTTACACTGTGCAGACTGGTAGTCCTGCTGAGCGTCGTGAGCCTGCGTCGCGTCCTGTCTCGCCTGTTCGTCCTAGTCGTACCGGTCGTCATGTTCCTCGTTCGCGTCAGCCGGCTGTCCCCAGCACACACCTCGTAGTCCGTCGTCCTTCCTCTGCTCCGCAGCCTGTTCCTCTGCCGTCTCCTCCTGCGTCCTCGTTGCCTGACGTTCCGGACCCTGCGTCTGACCGGTTTCGTGCTGAGCACCCTACTGTCACGCGTCTACTAGCCACAGTTGTCACTGACCCGTCGTTTGAGTCTGCTGCTGCGTCTGCTCTTGTCGCTGAGCTTGTTGACTTTGCTGCTGCCTGTCGTCTAGACTTCACTGCCAGTCTTGTTACTGAGTCTGAGTCTGTCTGTCCTCCGTCCGTCGGGGGTGAGTGTGCTCTTAGCACGGACGTCCTTGAGGACAGGCAGGAGGAGTTCCAGTGTCTCGCTGCTGCTTTACCTCATCTTGTGTCCTCGCTACTTGCCCCTGAGGGAGACCCGGATGCACCAGACATCCCGACTCCGCGCTCTTACGCAGAGGCGATAGAGGGTCCCTACTCCTCTCAGTGGCAGGCAGCCATGGACGCAGAGATGGCTTCCTGGAAGTCCACAGGCACCTATGTCGACGAGGTTCCCCCACCTGGGGCGAACATCGTCAGTGGCATGTGGATTTTCAGGGTGAAGCGGCCGCCGGGTTCTCCGCCTGTCTTCAAGGCGCGTTACGTGGCTCGAGGCTTCAGTCAGCGAGAGGGAGTTGACTTCTTCCAGACCTTCTCCCCCACCCCGAAGATGACCACTCTTCGGGTGCTGCTGCATGTTGCTGCTCACCGTGACTACGAGCTTCACTCTCTTGACTTCAGCACAGCTTTCTTACAGGGCAGCCTGCACGAGGAGATCTGGCTGCGCCGCCCCCCGGGCTTCACTGGGTCGTTCCCTCCT